ACCCCTCGTACGCGCAGTGTAGGGCTTCAGACGCCCCTCGTACTGAGTACGCCTAGCGTACTCCGAAGTTACGTCCAGCGTGATCCGAGGATGTAGCCTATAAATAGATGTGAGGATCACCCCAAAAATCACACCTTTCCCATTATTTCTCTCTCAAACATCCTTCTTAATCCCTCCTATTCCTTAGTACTTCCCAAGTGCTAGAGGCGAGTCCCAGAGCGCCATAAGGCTCCGAGAAGAAGAGCTTTCGGCTCAGAAGTTCTGCCCCCGCAGAGTCCGGCTCCTAGCTAAACTCGATTGTAAGTGAGTTATGCTTACCCTACCTTAAGTATAGTATATGTTTAAGTTCATTATCCTTGTTATGAACTTATAAACAATATATGTGCTAAGTATTATAAATTCTACAAAGTGTTATTATAATACATTTTTACTGCTTGCGGTACAGGGAATCTAATTTGAATGGTCACATAGGGTTGTTGGATTTCAGATCAGCTTATATACCGAAATGGTCATGCCCTCCGGTGTTTCATGTCTGACCCCTATCTGTACATAGTAATTGAAAAGTATTCTAACATTTATAAAACGATATCACTCGTAGTTAATAATTAGTTACAATAAATATTATACTAAAATCCAGTAATAATGATACTAGTTTTCATCGAAGGGAAATACAGTTGTTACAAGAAAAGCGATGCCCAAGTTTGAAGTCATCACTTTAACAAGTAAGTGCTTAGTTACTTTCATCTTACACATAGATATAAAGTATTTAATATAAATTACATGCTACGAGTTAATAGATGTTTTACTGTAACTGAAAAAAAAAAAAAAAAAAAAAAAAAAAAAAAAAAACCTAGATCTTGAAAAGTACAATATGATCTTAGGATTACATATCTAGGTTCTTATTTCCAGGTATTTATGTAATGTCCGTGGTTCTGGGCTTTCCATTTTTAGCAATGTAATAGTTTAGGTCAACCTTTGTAACCTAATTTGAAATAATAAGAATGTATTATTTACGAATTATGTGTTTTATACTTATCTCTTTAATTATGTGATTTGATTTAATCAAGAATAAAAATAAGCGCAAAAATGAAATGTTATATAAACCTGACATTGATCCACGAAGATGTAGTGGTTGAGAAGAGGTTTCCGAAAATAAAAAGAATGCTGAAATCCGAGTTATAACGAAGAAGTTATGACCTGCCGAAGGTTCGTGACAAAACCAGTGTGGCACAGCGTGATGTAAATAGTGAATTTATGAAGGAGTGATATTTAGCCTTAGTGATCAACACGAAAGACGTAGATAATGTTGAATCGAGAGCATGCATAAAAAGAACGCCTAAATCTAACTTCGTATGAGGAAGTTTTGATTTTTCGAAGTTTCAGCTTAACAGTAGACAGCCCAAAAAATCGAATTGAGATCGAGCGAGTTTTAGCCGAAACTTTCTAAACGAGAATCGAAGATCTTGACGATAGTAGTGCAACGACAGAAAGAGGGACGAAAACGGCCGTCAGACGAAGAAGTTATGAATTTCTAAAAAAGTTTTTTTGTCCCGGCCTACTAAAAATAAATAATAAAAAATAAAGTCAAAATTAGCCAACAGAGTCTAAATAAAAGTTGTAGAGCATAATCTCACCTACGCGTGGATATAAAGAACGTCGAAAACGGAGCTCGTATGCAAACGTTATGAATTTTTAAAGATCATGGTACACATACCAAAGCTTATCCGAAGCGTACGCCCAACGTAACCAAGATTACAGACAACGTACTGAGTATGCCCAACGTACTTGAAAATTACGCCCAGCGTAATCCCAAACCCAGCAGCCTATAAATAGAACCCGAGATCAGCCATTTTCATTACCGTTTTTCTTCCTTTCTCTCTAAGTTTTGCATCGTTTAGTGTGCCAATTATATCCCGAAGCCCTGGTATCATTCCCGAGCCCCGAAGTAAGTTCTGAAGTCCCGAGGATCCCGAGGAATGTTATTCCCGAGCCGAAGCCCTGCTCGCGAGGAGCTTGGTTTTTGTGAAGATCTTTCAGATCTACCGAAGAATACTACTTCTGCAAATCATAGTGTTGCCCGATCATCTTCTGATCGAGGTGAGTGTATAGTCCCTTTCAGTATATGATATTATACAAGTAATCGTTGAATGTGTTTAAGAATATGGGTTGTGTTAGGGTATTATTATTACCTTCTAACACATAGACTTATATGACTCTACTTGAAAATTCTTGTTACGTGTTTATGTATTACTTGCTATTTGGATGGAGTATTGAAAGAGCATGCTATACAGTTTTTTTTTAATTATGTATAAAACATGTATATTTTATCTACTAATATGTTGGGTAGAACATGGGTAGACAGTTGGTGCGCAATGAAATAAATTGATGAGAGGCCTCGTTGTTGGTGTTATTCTAGTCATTCAGCAGAGTATAGATGACGACCACGAACAGACAGTCTTGTGGAATGATAGCAGGCTCATAACCTGTTGGTGTTGTGAATGATGTGTTCACCGGTGTACTCTATCCCCTACATGGTTTCCTTTAGGACACTTATTGTTGAGGAAGCCCCTCTGCAATAATGTCCATCCCGATGAAAATCCTAGATTAGATCCCTTGAGATAGATGTTATTTTAGGGATGTAAAGTGAGGATAACGAGAATGGGTAATCGGGTTCTTGTTGATTGTTGAATTAAATATAATTATTTATTGTGTGTTGAAAACCCTATATGCTCACCAGGCCCCCAAGCCTGACCCACTCAGTTTATTTGTATTACAAGAAGTGGCGCAAGGGCATAAGATGGATGAATTATCAAGTTGTTTTGTTTACAAGTCTGTATATGTATATATTTGTTGAATGACTTGTAATATTATCGTTTATGTTTTATGGTCTGTATCGGAACATGATATCCCGATTTTTTATTATGAAATGAAATTATATTTCTTTATGAAAAGTTTTGATAAAAATCTATTTTATCATGTTTTATTTTTGAGAACAAATTATGCATCTCTTTTAAAATCAAAAGGATTTACTCTGAAAATGTTTAAAAAACATAAATGAAACCGGTATTTTCTGGTCAAGATTTTCGGGATGTCACAATTTACAATTATGTCATTCTATTTATTGACAAACAAAAATTCCATTTATATATTTGCAAACATATATTTTACAAAAATACATATATACATTTAGTTATAAGCTAAAAATTTAAGTTGTTAGAGTTCTTTAACGTTTTTAGTTCTCGTTTGATCTATATATATATATATATATATATATATATATATATATATATATATATATATATATATGGGAAAAGTGAATATACCCTTAAGGGTATATAAGCTTACGTACCCAAACACGCAATAATACATCGTTTTGTTTGATATATTCATTATAATATTGTTAAACTTCAACCATAACTTGATTTACTTTCAAGATATTCGAAATTTCACTATTATCATTCACTTACATCACATATTTTTACCGAACACCTACTAGGTTATATATATTAGAGTTGAAAATGAAAATTATATAAAAGGAAGATAAATGTGTAAATTATAAAAATATTGGAAGTAAATCAAGTTAGAAATTAAATTATAAGAACATTGGACAATTAGGATGTATTATATGATACAAAACGATATAGTATGCTGAGTTTGGGTACCTAAGCTTATATACCCTTAAGGGTATATTCACTTTTCCATATATATATATATATATATATATATATATATATATATATATATATATATATATATATATATATATATATATATATATATATATATATATGGATTTTGGAAGCATATAAATGTAATATATAATGTAAGAGAAATTAAATTGATTCCTACTTTTTATGCCTACAAATATGCCTACCCAATAAAATTATGACAAGTGTCATCTTTCTATATTTTTTAAACTAAATCATTAAGATTATATTATGAATATATCAAATACAATTAAATTGAATGGTGATTTGTCATAATTTTAGTGGGTAGGAATAATTGTAGGAGTAAAAGGTAGGAGGCAATTTAATTTCTCATAATGTAATTATGTTTGTAAGGTGTGCATGGAATTTTCACAAAAGATCTTTTATCGAAGCGGAAGTTGATTGGTTTAGGAAACAACCTAGAAGGTAATTAACTATGTCGAGGATAACTGCATGACATAACTATATTTAGTTTTTTGCACTCACATTTTTTTTCTTATTTATGATCATATTCTCCTTTCCTCTTACACCTATACAAAAATGCAAACGACCATCGAGACTAAGATATTTGAATTCACGATGCTGAGATTTATCCCTCCAATGAATTCTTATATTAGGGCTATTTTAGATAATGTCCGATGTCCACAGGATAGAGATGATTGCTTTGCAGTAAATATTGGAACAAGGATTGGATCACTAGATATGATATTATCGCACATTTTCGTGAGCATTTGACTGTTTACTTTTTTTCTTCTAATATATATGGCAACCGGTATTAAACAAATAATATTCGAAGGATATTGAAATTTAGTAAATGGCACATGCATTTCTTATTTTAGTTATTTTATTTACACATAAAATTTAGTTTCAAATAGTATATCTAACCGGTTTCATGGTTGTGATATATAGAATCCATGATAATTGGTGACCAGGGGCGGACACAGGATTTTACAGCAGGGGTTGCACGGAAGAGTTAGGGGTTGCATAGTAGTAGAAAATATAAGTTTTTTGAAAATTTTCGAAAATTTTTCCACTGTGGTCGGAAAAGTTAGGGATTACCGGTGCCAACGTGGACCACCCTAGGTCCGCCCCTATTGGTGACTCTAAATATAAAAGAATACAAAGATTGAAAGTCTATCGAATTCAATCCTCATAGATTTCCCTCCAAAAAGAACTTAACGCAATTAAGTGTGCAAAGCTAAACTACATTTCTACAATGGGAGTCAAACTACTAAAATCAACCATAGCTATAGTAACTAATGAATCACAAAATTAACACCCAATCAAATTCATCTAGACAGGACTATAAAAACAAGAAATCGAGTTGGAAGTTGAAAGCCCAGTAGTCTCCACAGCATTTGTGATCCTCGCCCTATCAACTGGCCTGAAAATGTAAAGAATCGACATACAAAACACAACAATGGTGGTCTCCTTTACCACATAAACCTCCCACCGTGTCGACAATGCAAGAAGAAACAGCTTCGTACTGAGCACATACACAATAGTCAACATCATAAATAACCACAACTTATTCCGATCACCATTCAAATCAGTCTCACGAATCTCATCCAACAAGATACTCGACAACGCTATGGAGAAGTAAATAGCAAAGCAGTAGATGACATCTGCGAGTGACCCGTTTTCTTTATTATAAGGTACAGCAGCTTCCCATGGCAATATCGGATCTACATTACCCCAAACCTCAAGCACGATCACAATCATCAAAACCAGTTTTTCCTCTCGTTTCAAAAATGGCTTCCAGAAAAACCATCCTGCACCAATCAACACGATCACGGTGGACAAAAGAACAGCCCTCGTTAGCTGAAATACGTAAAACACGATATCCAATCCATGAGCAGTTCCTGTAATCTTCACGTGATGTAGATCCGCAGCAACACATATAAAGTGAACACAATTCACAAGAAGCAGCCCACCCATTAGTAAATGGGTCCTGTTAAAGATTCTCCTGTTCTTGAAGCATACTAAGATCCATAACCCTAGAGAACTTAAGTAAATGAAGGAGAAGATGATGTACAGAAACGGGAGTTGTGTTAGCCCGGCTGATAAAAAGTTTTTGGTAGTGCCATTGCCATTGCCATCATCGATGTTGTAAAGCTCTGCATGACCCTCGATTGTCACGAGGGATTCGTTGTTGCAGTTGATGAAGAAGAGTGAGTTGATACCGGAATATGTTACAGGGAACGATTTGTTGAAGGAAAGCTTAGTATCATGAGAAAGATTTTGGAAAGTAAAGAGGACTGATGAGTTTGATTTGAAATCCAAGGGACAGATAGTAGCGTTCTGTTGGAATTCGAAGATGTCTTGGTTTCTTGTTTCAAGCGAATGGAGGTAGAAATCATAATCATGTGATTGAAGGAAGAAACCTATACGTGATGCATTAGTAGGTGATGAGGTGGAGGTGACTGCGATGGAGGTGAACACGAAGGAAACATAACCTGCATTTGTAAATTCGAAATCCGATAAAGGGATCATTTGTCGGTTATTGGATTGGAGATTCAGAGATACGATATGCGCTGTGGATGGTGCTGTGAAGATGAAGAGGTAGAGGAAAACAGCGGTGAGAAGTTTTTCTGATATCCTCATTTGGATTCACGGGTGGTGGTTGGCGGAGGAAGACGGTGGAAAAGTGAGGGTGGCAGGACAGTAAAGGTAACACCCACCCTTTTTCACGATGAAAAAACTATAAAGATGTATTGTTAAATTTCTTGATCCATTCTCATTGATATCAAGCATATTTATCTACAAATGTTTCCTAATTCTAAGATAACTAGGAGTCTAGGATAGGGGATACGATACTTTCCTTATGTAATATGACCCGAATAAAAAGCAACAATTACAAAACTTTTGGTAATATGTATTGTTCATAAAAAATAACAAATGAGAAAAATAGGGAGAAAGATGGATTTTAAATTTTGAAAGAAATATAATATGTGTGCTATAGAGATAAAATGTGATAATTAGGATTTTCATATGAAAGTGAAATATTGTTAAATATTTTTTTAGATTTATATAATTAATTTTAAAAAAAGTTAAATATAAATGTCAAAATATTCGAAAACTTTTAATTTATAATAAAATAAGAAAAATAATGAATTATTATAATATAATTTTTTTTATCTTTTAAATTTAAATAAATAATTTAAATAAAGAAAAGAAAATAATATATAAGCTTTAATTTTAGGAATTTTGAAATTAAAAGGTAACTTTATTAACGAAACTGATATTCATTTATTAATATATTTATTGCAATTATTACATTAAAATATTATATATAAATTAATAAAATAAAGAATTTCATAAAATGACATGAGAAAAAAAAAATTACTTCAAAATAACCATAAAATAACATTTGACAATTTAAATGAAAGTGTGATAACTGTCAAAAAAAATATATTATCTCAGAGAGTGCGATATAGGTCTCGAGGTGTGGAGAAACTTTTATTAATTGATAGAGTTTTTATTCGATTAATGGTCCTAATGTGTTGTAACATTTTGTGGAAGTTTTTTACTTATAACTCTCACAGAAGCTTTTCTTCCAAATACTTTGGATGCTTACATGATTTTTTTATTCCATTTATATTTTTTGACATATCATAGTCGGTTTTTTGGGATAGAGATTTTTTTATTCCATTTACATCTTTTTGACATAGCATAGTCAGTTTCGTGGCGATAGAGAATGTGAAAGTTGGCGACTGCCGACTAGGTAGTTATCTTCAATAACTCAATTGATGAGACATCCGAAGAAGATTTCATATGAGTGTCCCTTCTATATACGTTATAGAATTGGTTCTTGGTAGATCTCTGTTAGCCGGTGAATGACAAATTTCATGCACTTAAATCTAATTTCGACTAATTAAAATTGTATCATGTAATTTACGAATTTAATTCACTCAATTGAAATGTATTAAATATTTAATGTAATTGTGTTGAGAAATATAATTACTTCTTAGCAATTTCCGATCATAAATTTGGTATTAATAAATTTGGTTTTCTAACATTGCAAGTTTGGTGCAAAATATGGTTGTTTTAATGTTGAATAAAGATTAAGTAGCAATTAGTAATTACTCCAAAGTCCGTAGTTATATGAAGTTTTATGCTTGTAGTTTTTTGTGTCGTGCATATTAAACCTAGAGGGTACTGGAGAAAATATGGAGAAAGAGCAAGGTTATCGGAGTCATAATGAATAGTCTAAGGACTATCTGCGAAAATTCTTCAAAAATATATTTGTGTCATCATGTTAGCTACGTTTTGAATTAATCAGTTCTTTTCTTCATAAACCTAATTTTTTCCGCTTATGTTCTCAGTACTTTGTTGTCAGATTCTTGTAGAAACTTGATGTAACATCATAAATTTTCAAATAAAATTTTCATATTAGAAATCACATAATTCTCATAACATAGTTTACAAAACCCTAAATGACAATGTTTACAAAAACACATATTCAGAAAATTGTTTTAAATACAAACCAGGATCCTCGAAGTGTGACCCCGCCTCGTGTGTACAATCAAGTCGGCCCCTTCTCGTGATCCCGAAAAGTACCTAAAACACATAACACAAGACACGGTAATCACGAACCTTAATGAGCTCCCCAAAATACCACACATATATCATTAGCCTCGCATGGCTATACTCGAATAAGACCCTCCGGTCAATGAGTCTCAGTGAGACCCTCCGGTCCCACAACTCGAGTGGACCCTCCGAGTATAGCCATGGTAATCACGAAGCATAAACAGTACATCATAAGCCTTACAACAGTTATTTACAACTACTAGCTTATAATCCAAAAATCCCTCATCATCATCCACACTATGCTCTGGGTCTACTACCTGTAATATAAAAACCTAAGTGGGTCATGCTTGGGAGCCTGGTGAGCATATATGGTTTTCAACCCACAAATAATAATAAATTTATCAATTTCATCGACCTACAATATATTTATTAATTTCATCAACCAATAATAACCCTGCTTATCCGTTCCCGTTATCCTCACTTTACGTCCCTAAACACCTATAATAAGGGACCTAGCATAAGGATCATCATCGGGATGGACATTACTGCTAAAGGGATTCCTCATCCATACATGTCAAGGCAACCATGAGGGGGACGAAGTACACCAGTGAACATATAGTTCACCAACACCTACAGGTTGCGAGCCTGCTAGCATTCCACTGGACTGTCTAGAAAGTTCCATGGTCGTCATCTATACTCGCTAGATGACTAGAACAACAACAACATTAAGGCCTCTCATCATTTTAACACGCAACAACTATTTCATCTACCTATGTTATACCCAACATATTTGTAGATAAAAATATGTATACAATTTAAATCATTTTAAAACTTGTATAAAACATTCATTCAACACTCATCTCAAATAAACAAACAATAAATATACACACAACACGTATTTTGTAGAAAATACTTCATATCTATGTGTCAGATGAAAGTAACGACACACTCACTTGTTTTAATGAAAATTGAGCAGCACCTCGTTTCTTAAAACAATACTCTTCGATGAAATCGAGATGATTTCTCAAAAACCGGGCTTAACGCGGCCAGAGTTTAGACTCAAAAACTATTTTTCTCGGGATCTCCGGGCTATCCTGTAACGCCCGCGTTTCCAGGCTAGGCATTTTCGTTGATGTAATAGTCTAGGTTAACCTTTGTAATCCGTTTTGAAATAATAAGAGCGTATTATTTGAGTATTATGTGTTTTGTGCTTAATTGCTTAATTATGTGATTTGGTTAATTAAGAATAAAATAAACGTCAAAATTTAAGTGTAAAATAAACTCAATATCTTTACATAAAGTTGTATTGCTCGAAACAAGGATTCCAGAGATATAAGGAATGCTAAAATCCGAGTTATAATGAAGAAGTTATGACCTATCGAAGTTTCACGACAAAACCGACAACGCTGAATGACGTAAAAAGTGAAATTTATGTTAGATCAATATTTAGCCTTAGTGATCTAAACGAAAGTCGTAGAGTTTGTTAAACCGAGAGCGTGCATAAAAAGAACGCCAAAATCTGACTTCGTATGAGGAAGTTATGATTTTTCGAAGTTTCGACTTAGCGGTATGCAGCCCGAATACTCGATTTGAGACCAAGCGGTTTTTAGCCAAAACAATCTAAATGAGAATCGAAGATCTCATTAATTGTAGTAAAACGATAAAAAGATAGGCGAAAACGAACGTCGGATGAAGAAGTTATGATTTTATAACGGAGTTTTCCTATCCCGGCATACTAAAAATAAATAATAAAAATGAATTCAAAATTAGCCGACAGAGTCTAAACGAAAGTTGTAGATCGTAGTTTTACCTACGCGGGGATATAAAGAACGTCGAAAACGGAGTTCGTATGAGGAAGATATGAATTTTTGAAGTTTATTAAATATTTTCGATATTTTATTTATATATATTGGCCAGTATTATCCGAAGGGGGGGAGTCAGCGATCCTATCCAGGTTACGCCCAGCGTAACTAGGATTTATGCCCAGCGTAAATCGACCTTCCAGCCCCTATAAAAGGGTGTCGAGGGCAGCCGAGTAGTTTGCTCATTTCTTCCCTTTTTCTCGCGTTTTTGCATCGTTTTTCATGCAATAATTATCCCGAAGCCCCGATATCATTCCCGAGCCCCGAAGCAAGTTCCGAGGTCCCGAAGATCCCAAGAAGTAAGATTCCCGAGCCGAAGCTCTGCCCGCGAGGAGTCCGGTTTTTGTGAAGATCTTCCAGATCTACCGAAGAATACTATTTCTACAAGCCGTAATGTTGTCCGATCATCTTCTGATCAAGTGAGTGTGTAGTTACTTTCTTCTAACGCATAATTATGAAGTATTTTATACGAAATACGTGTTATGTGTGTGAATGTATATTCACTTTCTTCTATCTTATAGATCTAATTATTTCTCTATGAAATACGTGTTATGTGTGTCTGCCTCATCTGTTATGTGGAAAATGTATTGATTGAGCATGCTATACACGTTTTGAAACTATGTATAAAAATGTATGTTTTATCTACTAATATGTTGGGTAGATAGTTAGTGTGTAATAAACAGATGAGAGGCCTCGATGTTGTTTTGATCCAGTCATCTAGCGGAATTTAGATGACGACCACTGACTTTTCTAGACAGTCTAGTGGAACGCTAGCAGGCTCATAACCTGTAGGTGTTAATGAACTTGGGTGTTCATTCGCTATATTTCATCCCCCTCATGGTTGCCTTATTTGAGTTATATTGCTGAGGAACCCCCGAAGCATGTGTTGTCGCCCCGATGAAATATTCTTAGACTAGGTCCCTTATGTTAGTTGTCTTAGGGACGTAAGGTGAGAATAACGGGAATGGGTAATCGGGTTATTGTTGGTTGGTGGAAATTAAATATAATTATTTATTGTGGGTTGAAAACCCTATATGCTCACCAGGCTCCTAAGCCTGACCCACTCAGTTTTATTTGTATTACAGGAAGTGGCGCAAGGGCATAAGATGGATGAACCATCAAGTTGTTTTGTTTACAAGTCTGTATATGTATATATTTGTTGAATAACTTGTAATGTTATCGTTTATGCTTTATGGTTTGTATCGGAACATG